TTCAAGTGTAGCTGACCTCATCATCTTCTTTTCTAACTGGTCAAAGATACCTCCATCCCTGTGTTGAGGTTTTTCGCGAGCACAGTGGTAGTTGAATCTTCGGAACGCATAATTTTAGCTGTAAGAACAGTACGAAGCGCCCATTTTTCAGTTAGTCTGTGGAACTTTGCATCTTACTCGTTAGCATCGGTTTGGATCCACTTGGTGCCGCCCAATGTCCATGAGGTGGACTAAAACACAATTCGCATATTGTCACGTGGCGACTGCTTATTTACTCTCGCTTGAACAGGAACCACCACCGGTACCCCACCGATACACATTCGAGCTGAAAATAGCCATGGAAAAAGGGTCACTGTTGCATGTTCCTATTAAACACACTATCTATTTCCTCTAACCGTTCCACCTTTAAGTTCCTATTCTCTCGTACTCCATCTCACTGAAATTCCGTTATACAATCCCTGTCCCGCTTGCTTGTTGACTCAACAAAAACTGTCAGTATGATGCGAGAGTTTTCTCGAGTGATATGTAAAGACATCTTAGACGTCTCTTTTCTTTGACAATAATTTCATATACTGCAGCATTCACCATGCTGAAAATGCACCTACCCGGATGCCTAAAGCCTAGTTTGACTTTGAGTGGTCGAGTAGAACACATGCACTTCAGTGCCACTGTCGAGCACCTCGAGTCTACTACAGAAGGATGACATCACTTTTTGCACTCGGTAGCCGCGTCTTTGGAGGGTCGTCTTATTATTGGCCCTTTCTTTGCTACTGTTACAAATGTTGTTGTTTGACCTTTTCTGATAGTTCTTGCAAATTAGGGTACCCACTTTCACGCATCATATTCCGTATGAACGCCAGTCTCGGATCCATGCAGATTTTACGTGCTTATAAAGCGAGTCAGCGAACCATACTGAATGAAATCGTGGAGGTTCATTTACTATCAATCTACGTTTTCTTTCAGTTGCCCTGCGGCTGAGTGGAGCCATATGTCATAAGTAACGAGATATATGACGCCCGTTTTTTTCTTCTTAATACATTGCAGTGCCGTGTGCGTTTGGTTAAAAACTTCAACAACCGTCGCGATAACGTGTTAATCTATCGCGACAAGACATGTTGCTCAGAGGGCTTTCCTCGTCCGCGTTTTGGTGCTTTCCAATTTTGTCACAAATATATGTGCTTCTTGGCCACGTAGCATACATTGTTCCGTGTAGGGCAGTACTGACCTTGAATTGGGGGATACAATTTCCAATATTAATCGCACCACAGTTGACGAGACCAAGACGATCGAGGTCGATTTTACTAAACTCGAGCAGAGCCTGCTCGTGACGACGGGTGGGTACAATGTTTGCTGATGATTACGCACGAATTCAGCGTGTAGATGGATCGCTGGAAGTTCCGATTGGTGCTTGCCCCCAACAATCCCTTTATATGTTTGGGCTATGTGAGATGGGAAAATGTGAAATAAGTATAAGCGCAGTTAGATCTTCGGTTATTCGGTACCGACGCAGCTATTTGTTGCATCCTCCTTGTATCTCAATGTCGTAAAAAGGTGACGCAGTTGTGACTGTGCACCTCTGGTTCGGTAGGTCGGTGCCCTCATGTACTTCACTAATTTCCCAATAAACACCCGGCGCACTAATTAAGATATCCTAGCACTCTTTGTATATGAGCTCTGCTCATAATAATGTACTGTCTGTGCTATCGATTCTCTCGTGTTCTGTCTATGGTAACATTGTCTTGTGATGTTAACTCACCCATCCGCTGATTACCAATATTCAGCGACTTTTGTAGCTAAATTTTAGCTCTGCTTGTGACTGGTGTTGCGAAAACTCATTGTTGATGAGTTTGATCTTCATAGCCGGAGTTTGACGAATCTTACCTCATAAATTGTAAACGTAATACTGTTCAGTATAGCGTCACTGCTTGAGCAATTGTTTGTGCTCACCCGATGGTGTTTACCAACAAATCCTTTGTCGCCGCTGACTGTCCGCTCTATTTGATTCTCATTCGTGTGTTTGGTTGGGCTGTCTCACACGTTTAGGTCTGCCAATCTTCTGTCACACCTGTGCACGTAGCTAAATGATCTGTGTTGCAGATGTGCTCATATTTCATCCTCCTGTGGCTGTAAAACCTGGTTACTTAGGATAACTCGTTTATTCGACAATGCTATCTCGACGAATGTGAAGCATGACTATCCATTGGAAACATCGATGTATATAAGTACGTCGTTTCCATAACTAACGACGCTCCAGGCTTCATGGGATTTTATTTTGCTTCAGCCAAATTTACATGAATTAGCGTAGAGGTGGAGATGCGTAGATGTCAAACCATCTCCGTTCGATTGTAGCAATCTAGCTTGCCTCGTGTCGTCTCTCATATTTCATATTTCCATTACATTCTTCCCTTTTTCGAGGCCAGCCGCATCGTTGTCGCTGAAAACTCCGTACGCTTTGCCGCTACACTTGACTTTTTTGTTTCTGCCTTTGCGACCTCCCGTGTGCTGTCGTGTTCTTTTCGTCAGGTTCAGCTTCTTGTTTCCGGTGTCACCTCAGTTTTACTCGATTCTTTCTGCTTTTCTTCTCTCCAGTATTTTCTTCTTCGCAGTCACTACACCTTTCTTCCATCGCTTATGGACACCCGGTATTGGTTGGATCCACATTTTCTCGTTTATTGATATCTCGGGTAGCGCTCAGGTGCCGCTTTCGCAATGCTGTTTTCGGTTTGTCATGCGTTTTCTTAAACTCTTGCAGTTGCTCATGCTATAGCAAAACCGGATGTAAAAGTGCAATGGACGCAGGCATCAGGGTTCTGTACAAACGTTACCCTGGACTGAGATTATGGCGCGTTGCGAATCTCAAAGAACATCAGACACGGATCCTCATTGGTGGCTCTAGCCTTAGATAACAACCTTTTTGGCTTGTTTGACTGACGCCCCTGATTTTCCGTTTGCCTGGCTGTGATACTGGCTGTTCTCCCAATGCGATGACTCCCATTTGTTTGTAAAGATATGGAACACCGCATTTGAAACTATGGACCATTGTCGGAGACCAGTTCCCCTGATATTCCGTTTCGGGCGAACTGGCATCTGAACTTATTGATGACTGCTTCTGTGGTGTTAGCGGCGAGTGAATCAATCTCAACATTGTCGCTTTAGTAATCCACGGTGCTTAATTAGCCTCTCTGTCACATAATAATTCACCGCTACATTCCGCCATGGTTACTCTAGAACCTCACACAGCATCATTGGTTCCCTGGCCTTCCGAGCTTCATAGAACCGACAGGCTGAGCATTTTGACGCTCGATCACGTAGTTATCTTGTCATTCCGAATCAGGACATCCGATCTCGGGCTCTGATAATGATGTTGATAACTCCCACATGGACACGATTAGCCTGTTCCAACATATCTCAGTGTAACAATGCCGGGATCACAATATGATTTCCTTTAAAAAGCAAGCTATCATACACCGTGTTCATCCCGAAATTTGGAGAAAGGCGTTACTTTCTTTGGGACTTTATTTCCTATATCTGGCTATCCTGTTGAAATCACGTTTAAAACACCGCGCACATCGCGCTTGCCTTCCTTTAGAGTCTTATTTCTTTCAGACAATCTTTCCTTAGTGCCAACTGTTATACAAGATTTACTGCCTCGGTCTCTTCCTATTGCTGTTGGACTATCGGAAGATTACCTCTCGACAGACCGTCTTCAATGAACATCTGCATCTCCGGAATCCACAGAAGGTCCGTCGCATTTTTTGCAGGCAGACGCACATGTCTTGAAGACGTTGAGAGACATTATGTAACAGTTTACTGACTGTTGCACGAGCGGTTTATGGTCAGTATGCAGGGTAGTCTTCCTTCTCAAAGAGTAATTATTGATTGGCTCCATCGTGTAGACACCAGCGAGCATTTCGTTTTCGCACTGTATCTCTTCCAAAACGCAGCGCGCTTCATCTCCGCTTGTATGTCAAAACATCGCCAGGCCATACGCCATCGGTTGTTCTCTCAGGCCCACTATGCAATCATCGATCCACTTGATTTTCCGAATTTTCCAATTTCTAGCTAAGTTAGATTCCTCTATGTTCATTGGGGTAGATATTTACACAGCTACTTGCGCTCCAATCAGCTACTGAGCACCGTTTGGTGAAGGTGACTTTTTCTCTGACATCATATCGCAGAAACCGGTCCTTCAGCGACAAGTGGCTTATTCAATGTAACCAGTTCAGCGAAAATGATAGCATGACTAGCCTGTAGAAGCATTGACTTATACAAATAGGTCGCTTCCATAACTAACAACGCTCCTGGCTTCATGAGATTCTTCCTTTGCTCCAGTCAAACAAATGCACTCCAGCGCTGCCAAATATGTACCAATTAGTGTAGGAGATGCTTAGATGTCCAATCATCTTCTCCATTCGCTTGCAGCAATCTAGCTTGCCACATCACGTAAATCCTTCTCTTCGCTCTGATTGCATATTCCTATCTTAGCAAATTTTGACTTCTATTGACCTATAGTTGCCTTTTTCTTTACACAGTTATTTTCATTTGTCACTTATGTGTGCGCGTTATCTTGCTGCCGGCGTGTTTCAATCCTAATCTTTAAGAGAGGGTCGGCTTTTCTAAGTCCTGCAGTGACAACACTTCTTGTTCTGATGTGCTCCTCTCTAATCATGTGGTGGCATTCTTATGCTTAAAATGCATGGAATCCAATCGGATTATCATTGTTTGAACAGCCCATCGCATCCCTTCTCTCCTCGAAGGCGCATTGTGCAGCTGCCCTCTCTTGGAACCCATTTTTGTTCTAACTGCCCGCCCTCCTTGTGGTACTAGCTGTCTTGTGGTTCTTCGCCTTATTGGGTTTATTGATTTCGTATTTCATCGATGCCACATGTGTTCGTTTTCCCTTCAAGCCGCTTCTCTTATCACCGAACAGCCTTTTAGTCCTCCTTTACCTGACGTCTACAATATCATTGTTCTACTTACCTCCCTTGTGCGTACAACAGAAACACTACGGCGTGAATTAGAGTCTCAGCTGGCTCAACACGAGGCATCCCATCGCATAACGATGGAAGAAGCAGAGCGACGAGCAGAGACTGTTCAAATGGAGGTCCAAACCAGCTTGGCGCGTCTAGAGGCGGAGCTTGCCGAATGGAAGGTGAGCTCGTCCAAGTTGCGTTCCCACACTGTTCTAAACCATATTGATTTCCCTTCTATTGGAAACACACTGAAGCAGCGATTTCGTTGCATCCACACCCTACGTGACTCCATAATGGCATCGACCTAGAGTCACCGCCAATTATTGTTAGCTAGCCAACCCTTGTTAATAATCATCCTTTCATTAACGCTACGGTTTCGCTTTTACTCCCTGTCTCTCAAATGATGTATGCCCATATATATATTTTTTTCTTCCTATATTTATGTATTTATATATACTTTACATTGGCCGTTTTGTAAACCAATTTGGACACCTTGCAATCAAAGCGGAAAATCCACAACTTAGTTAACAAAAATGAGGAGTAAGGCGACTAGATGATGTTCATACCACGTTGTGGTCATGCCAATGCAACTGTGTAAGCAGCGGACGATTGCACAGGGCCTCCTCTTGATAACGGGTGTCGTTGACCTCGATTAAAGACGGTGACCCAGTTTTCTCCTGTCTCTCTATAGGCCTTCGTGTACTTTGTATGGGTGTATGGGCAACCCAATGCAGCTGCACGACTACTGGAACAGTGTACGCTCTTATAACCACCAAACAGCCTAGCTTTATTAGCCTTGTGCTACACGAAACGACCAAACTGGGCGACGAACGACGAGAGAACGCATCTCGGAGGCAGCGATGGTACAAGCGGACGTCATTGGGACAGAATGAGGTCCTTATCAAGCTTGTGTTCGTCGACCGCAAAACCACCTTCGAATCTACTGAAGTCGCCGATGTCAACGAGAGCAGGGCGAGAAACATCAGCAATGCTTACAGGTGAGAAGGCACCAATACTCAGCGCAAATGTGGAGAAAATGACAGAGACAAGCGGACTCTCAGTGTCATGCAGCGTGTTGAAGAAACCGTTGAACGGCATTCCAAAGACACAATGGTGCAGATTCAGCAGCGGCTGAGAGAGAACGGGATCCACATTTCTGTACGATCAACGCCCTCAGAAGACTCATGGTTACGCTCCAGTAGTGACACTATGAGCTAGATCGCATGAACAGTGTCATGACAATCACAAACCGGCAGGCATACGCTCTCGACTTCTCAATGCACGCACCGCATGACAAGGATAAATGAATCTTACTAGATGAGAGAGGGCTCAATCCCCATCTGCGGTACACGCAACCTCGGTCAAGATAAGGGACATGCACAAACTCTTTACTGCCCATGGTCGGAGGACGCATGATGTTCCTGCATTTTGCAATGAATAACCAAGGCATCATTCACTCTAACATCACCTAACAGTAGCACCTGTAATGGTGCAAAGTTCCTGATATTCGCTGAGGAGATTGCGGCGCCTTTACGCTTTGGAATGGAGATGAATGGTGTATGGATGATAATGGACAATGCCAAGATCCACCAGCCGTACGATCTAAGGAGGGTTTTGGGCACGTCTCATCAGCTGAAGTTCCTCTCGCCCTATTTGTACATGCTGAACCCCGTATAAAAACGTCTTTTCAAAGGCGAAAGCGCTGCCTAAACGCCGGCTGACCAACCCAACATCTGACCAGACCCTAAGTGCGGTTATTCAAGTGGACCTTGGAATGGTAACCCAGCAGGCTACACGAACTACACCCTCAAAATGACGCTGAAGTTAACGAAGGCGGTTTCGGGACAGCCCTTTATCAGTCGACCGTCTCTACTATACTGCTTCTGTTCTTGTTAGTACATCATATTCGTTTTTAAGTGGGCGTTTCTTCAAGTACCGGGGGTACAATGTTGGAGTAGGGCGAATGCCGATATGTTGAGGGCATACAAAGGCTGCTTACACAGTTTGGTTGCATTGGCATGACCACAATGTGGTATGAACATCATCCAGTCGCCTTACTCCTCAATTTTTGTTAACTAAATTTTCTATTTTCCGCTTTGATTGCAAGGTGTTCAAGTTGGGTTATAAAACGTGTGAATATATATATATATATATATATATATATATATATGCAGGTGTATCCTACTACGGTCGCAAAACATATATGAGTCATTCCAATACCTCAAAGACTACCTGTGACGGCCGTCAAGCAGATCCAAATCTGTCTCTGCAATCACATTCCCGAGCTGGATCTGCTCCCCACTGCCTTGTGGGTCATGGTATTGAGATACAGACTATTTCTGCTGGGTGATTTCAACGCGCGCGTCGGCATTGATACATCGGTGTGGACATATGTCTACGGTCCGCATGGCATTGGTTCAGCGAATGCGAACGGTGACAGATCGCTCTCACTGTGTGCCACTCACGGCCTGACGATCACGAACACTCGGTTTGCACTGAGTGCGCGTGATATAGCAACTTGGACGCACCCACGGATTGGTCACGCTCACCTGCTCGACTATGTCATCCTACGTCAGCGTGATATGCGTGAAGTGCTCATGACATGTGTACTGCGTAGAGTTGAGTGTGGCACTGATCATAAGTTGGTGCGGACTACAATGTACATATATTTTCCTAAATCTATGTATTGCACTCCCGCCGTGAATCTGTTCAAATATAACCCTCTTTCCCAGGTAGCTGTGAAGAAGAGGATGTGGCTGGAGAAGACGATGGCTGCACTCCTGTGTGATATGGAATGCATAGCTACAGTGGACGACAGGTGGCACCACATTCGCGACCAGGTGATAGCAGCTGCCGAAGAGACCGTCGAGCGCTCAAACTGTAAGCGGCCTGACTGGTTTGATGAGAACAATGCGACGATTGGCGCATTGGTGTCGGTGAAGAATGCAACATTTGCTGCACATGTGGCAGACCCCAGTGACTTGGGGAAGAATATCTTCATGCTATGATGTCTTGTGATTTTGTTGCCGCTTGTGCTTACGGTGTTCGTGCGGAGCACCGTATTGATGGTGGGTTGCTGAACATCCGTCCTTTCGGTGCGAGAACTATAGTCTGTGAGACAACTATCCGTATGTTGCTGTTTGCTGACGACTGTGCGTTGTTTTCACACAGCGCGGATGAGTTGCAGCATATGACTAGTGCTCTGGCTTCGACAGCGGCCAAATTCAGCCTCACCATCAATACAAGCCAAACTGTCTGTCTCTTTCAGCCTTCACCGGAGGTGCAATCTTCAATATTGCCGCGAGTCAGCATTGGTGCTGAAGTATTGGAAATCACCTCCAGCTTCTGCTACATTGGGAATGTGATGTCAACTCATCAGCAACTACACAGTGAACTGCGTATCCGCGTCTAGAGTACCGAGAGTGAAACAACCATCAGCTTACTATTAGCACGAATCTGATGGTGTACAAATTCATTGTGCTGTCCGTTCTACTATACGGCAGTGAAACGTGGACGATGTACCGTCGGGATGTGCGATATCTCGAGCGCTTCCATCAACAGTGTTTGCTACGAATTCTACGCATCGGATGGACATGGAAGTGTAGCGCCGTAGTGGAATGTATGCAGTTGGCTGCATACTTTTGCTGAGACACCTGAGGTGGATTGGTCATGTGAGCCGTATGGATTCAACGCGGATACTGGAGCAACTCTTATATGGTCAGATGAGTATTGGGATTCGGCACGTGGGGAAACCAAATTTACGTTACTAGGACATGATTAAAGTGAGCCTCACACGTTCTAATCTTGATTGCAGATCATGGGAATCGTAGGCGGTTGATCGGCGTGCATGACGCGATCTGATCACGAAGGCAGTTGCCGAGGTGCAGGAGAAAGCCCTCATGCATGCAGAGAAGAAGCGGCAAGTGCGGAAGTGGCAAGCACCGATGGGTTGTTCTCCATCGACATCAAGCGCATGGTGCTGTAGCACATGCGGTTGCGAGTGCCTGAGTCAGGCAGGCCTAGTGACCCATGAGCTATGCCATTCTGGACCATTACCGAGGCGACGATGTGCCCTGCAGAGAAGGTAGGCAGAACCAGCGCTGCGTTTGTAGGTACGCTGCATTCGATTTACTAACCGCGTGATTGCATGCTAAGTCTCTTTATTTCAGGTGGTGGGTTTTCAATTTTGTCCTAATGCTTTTCTTTCTCATATTAATCTCTACCTGTACTATCTATAAACTTGCACACCCGCTGCAGGTAGTTGTAGTCAATTTCGGTAACATTTTCGCGTTTGTGGCATTTACTTGTAATATGTTTTCTTACGTTTTGAACTTTTCGCCGATTGCTTCGTGATCAACTTTTTATACGCCGATTTATTGCTGATTTATATCTCCGTATCTCTATGCGTTATCCGATTTATTTTATTTCATCTTGTCGTTTCAACTGTTTGGCAGTTGCTTTGCTATTCCCGGTTTTGGCTACGCGTGATGTGCATGTTGACAAGGTGCCTACCTGTCTATTCCCCACTACCTCGTTCATACCAGCTCTAGGATACACTTGGTCGTTGTTGGAGGGGACGGGATGCACGGTCCTTTTGGCCGTGTTGGGATCAAAGAGTGGTTCTATGCACTCAGTGTGGAGCGGACTTCGGTCCAGTCACCGCCTTGTGTACGATTGATTCCCAAATACAACGTACTTGTGTATGCCATTGATGGAGTGTGGGCCGGCTCCTTTGATGAGTCGTGGCTCCCATCTAGATGCCTCCTAGTCCTATTCCTTCGAGTTTACACTTGTTATGGGGTTTGTGGGTGGACCTGTGCGTGGTGCAGTGTAAGCCACCCATGGTCCCTCTGTAGGCGCAGGGGTTCTCTGGGTCATCACAGTGACAGGGATATCCGAAACCGGATGCCGCTGACCACACATATATATGTATATATATTATTTTGCGCATCTTTTTATTTGCTTTCCTCTGTTGATTTTTGTCATCTCCCTACATTCGTTTGTCTAGATCAGCCTTTCACTAGGTTGGTCGTTCTACACTTTTTGAGTTGCATATTTCTGTCTTTGTGCCATGGTTTCACTCCCAGTTTTGCGTGCATTTATTCTTTTACGCTTTTTGCGCTGCATGCTAATGATATAGCTACTTTAACTCACCCACAGTTTGGTCACGCTCACTTGT